AAACAAAGAAAATGTCAAGTCCAAAAGTAAATATAAAAAACATATAAATGTAAATAAGTACATGTAATCAACCATATTATAAAAATCAGTCAAAATAATATAAACAAAACAATAACACAAACAGTTTAATAGTATTGATAAACATCCATAAATAATATAAGTATTAATGTAAATAGTTGTAGACCATAAAAAAGTCTATATGTTATAAGCAACACACAATTTCCCAAGTATTCTGTGATTCAAAGCAAAACACTTAGGAAAATGAATCTATATCTTACTCACGTATCTGGGTCTTATTCTAAATGAAATGATATAATTGATTTCAGGTGATGCTGAAAATATGTTTAAATATTTTCACTTATGGTTGGAAAATGAAAAAGCTAGACGAGGAGACAATTCACGGGGTATCGGCACCAAACTTTATGAAGCTGCGTTGGCCATACTTCACTGTCTTCAAAATGGGAATCCCAAAAACTGCAGTAATTTAAAGTGAGTTGGTCGCACTGTATCTCGTTCATCTTCAATTCATTGTTTTTTAATTTTCAGGGATTTTCTACAAAATGTTGAACATATGATCAGAGAAGCCAAATTGGTGCTGAATTTATACTATCCGGCATACATTACTAATAGGTTAAGCAGAAANGATTCAAATGGCGTTTATTTCGATTAAATTGGATAGGTTTTTACTGAGATATTACAGTTCAAAGTTCAAAAACGGAAAAACTTTTGAAGAAACTTGATAACTCCTAAGACTTTTACGGATGTTGAATATTTCAAGGGATCATTAGTTATTTTATATGAAATATTAAATAATTCATTTACTTTGAAGAAGGTAACAGAATAGTGTTTGTCAGTTTGTAAACTAAGCAATTTTAAACACATTGAATATACAAATTGTTTTGGTTTCTATGTATGGGTTTTTGATCATTGAGTGATTTGAATGGCCTGTAGATTTTGAATGTTCTCTGTACCACAGGTAGGTTCTAAGGGTGGCAACCGCCACAGGCCTTACGCCTGATGGGGGCCCCGCGATTGAAAATGTCTTGTCTCCGTCAGCCCATTAACCCAGAGCTACGCATACTGCTAAGTATGTCTCTATGCAAACATTTACAAAATTTTAAGCAACCCATGTCATTTATAATTGTGCTAACAATGGCAAACAACGTTATAATTGCCTATTGTTGAGGCATGTTTGTATAAGCAACAAAAATATATATTTTTTATTCATCACTGGCAGTATTGAATGTGTACCATTTATTTTGTGCAAAGAAAAAATTAAATTTAAGGAAATTTTCATCGTTCACTGCTAGTGTTTCACATTATCAGATATAGATGTCGCCCACGACTAGATCATATTAACTAGTTAAACGGTTTATGTGTTTCAAGCATTTCATTGTTGGCGACAGTGATTTTTGACAATATTAATAAGTTGCTGCATTTCTTGAAATGATTACAGCGTTTTTCATTGTTAAAACTAGTAGTGCCTCGTGTCGCACTAATTCTGTACGAGTTCTGTCAACATTCAATGTTGGTGCGGACCCAATAGAACGCAATTTATCAATATCATCACTACAACAGAAAAGGTCAAGATCAAATCAACTGGCTGTAGGAATGCAACCTTCTATTATTTCATTATTTAAAGTGACAGGAAGAAATTGTTGACTTAATCTGAATAAATATTCTAAAATCAAATCTTTCTCTTTGAAGATGATCGCTTGGTGATCGAAACACGTGTCGAGGTGTTAAAAATAACGATTTGGTGTTGGAAAAAAACTCCAGAATTATTCATTTAAAAAAACATTGGTTGGTATCACCGACATAATTATGTCGATGGTTGGTATACATGTTTACAAATTTACAATTGTTTTGACTTTGACGACAGACATGATAATATTGTTTATTGATTAGATTCTATAATCTAACCTCACATATCGCTCGAAAAATAATATTTTTAGTCCTTATTTCTTAGATATTAATAATTTCATAAATGGATGGTAAACCTTTCGAATGATTTTACTTCATTATTTCTGAGAAACTTATTTTCAGCTCAGTTACTGATCGAAATTTGTATATTGTGTATAGTTTTGCTGATTGCTCGAGTTTTATATTTAATTCACAAAATCACCACTGGCCATAGTAAATATGCGTCTAAAAAAAGAGAAAGGCCATGTAGAACCATAATTTGCATAGGATCAGGAGGACATACAACAGAAATGATTACGCTGATAAAAAACTTGGATTTCACACAATATTCACCAAGATATTATATTATGGCCAGGAGCGATGTTACAAGTGAAGCGAAGGTTGAAGAACTTGAGAGAAATAAAGCAACGACGGGACAAACAGCTGATTTTGTAATATATAAGATACCAAGAAGTAGAGCAGTTCATCAGTCATTCCTCACATCAGTATTTACCACCATTTTTTCTATTCTCTACAGTGTTCCTATTGTTTTCAAAATAAATCCCGAATTAATTCTTTGTAATGGTCCAGGAACTTGCATTCCAATTTGTGGATTAGGATTTCTACTGAAAGTATTCTTCATTACTGATACAAAAATTGTTTTCATTGAAAGTTTTTGTAGAACAAGAAGCTTATCTTTAAGTGGTAAGATATTGCTCTATTTAGCTGATAATTTTCTTGTTCAATGGCCAAGATTGAAGGAAAAATTCAAAAGGACTGATTATATTGGACAACTCATGTAATTTCATGTTTCAATTTATATTGCAGCTTATACAAATGGGCTATGATCTCGTGTAAATATATTTTGACAGGTTATTGACGGATTATCATCAATTTTTTATCGCTGGAATGGGCATTTCCAGATTTTATATGATTTCTCGAAATATAACCAAAGTACATATAAAGATTATTAAAAGATACTCTTTGAAGCAACTTGTCTCATTCAAACAGTACCTTCTGTTCAATAGTCTTTCATAAAACATAGCGACCTTGAAATATTTCAGGGAACCAAACTGAATATTGATTTTCCAACTTCTTCATTGTACCTGAAATCTGTTAATTTTCTTTAACTCAGATGTAGCAGTTTGTTCAATAAAGATATATTCATGCCTTCGAACTCTATGCATATTTTTCATCTTTTTATATTTCTATTAGTCGTAAGAGCCACGTGAATGCCAGATCTTTCTTATTTTATAAAAGCTTATTTTACAAAAGTGCATGGCCCCAACATAGGTGGGTACAATGGGCTACGAAGAAGTTTGGATATTCATAGCTTAAGCACATAAAAGATAGCGACAATGAGGAAACTCTCCACTTTAATTAATTGCAACTGTATGAAATTTAATGCCATTACCTTCATTCAGGATATCCTTTACAAAGTTTGAAATATTCCTGATATGTCGTGGAAAAAGTATAGAATTTTACTTGCTCAAATGATTTAAGACACTCTATTCTCACGATTATTGACTAAACTAATTTTTTGGAAGAATTTATTGTTCAGTCAAAGCCATTTAAACTTATTTTGTAGTCCGTTATATATTTTTGAATATACTTCAGATATTTTATATAACTGGTTTCCCAAATCCTTGCCTTTTTTTGAGTTACATTCTTAATATTGATATTGTTAATGAAATGATATGCAATTAAAGATACTAGTGAAATTCATGTTGCATATATCCAATAGTTACCAAAAAAAATCCAGGCTGGAGCCTCTAGATCAAAGAGAGAGAGAAATTCGTTAATTGTCCTAAGAAAGAGTTCTTGTTGACAAACGATTATGAACTATGTCAAAGTAGTATAGAAGTAATTCCTAAAAGCCCATTTATATAAAATAGGGTATCAAACACATTTTTACGAAAAAAAATAAATGCTATACAATTTGTAATTCAAAAAATGTTTTTTAAAAAAACTCTTTAATTATGAATATGAAATTTACAACAGAACCAGAAATCACTATTTCATTGCAGATTTATTGAAAAACCTCGTTCAATTAACATCATTAGAATTTTTCTAAGTAATTGGCTTGAATACACAAATATGAATTCAAAGAAATATCAAATGCTCAAAATAAGATGAAAACGATTTTACTAGCACTTGACATATAAACTATCGAGTTTATTAATCAATAAAAAAAGTACAATAAAAAAATATATTTCAAAATCAACAGCTTCAATCTCTTTGAAAACAGGATTGATATAAACCTCTTTTATTAATATACAAAAAAAGGTTTTCACTTATAAAAAACGATTGAAGTATACATCAAATCAGTCAATCCAAAATCATACTTAAAAATACTATTAGACGTTTGAACTAATTCCCTGAATCATTCATTCCAAAATTAAATCTAAAAGTTTCCCCATCAGGACATGTTGCACTGGAAGTTGATATCAGCTCATTTGAAGAACCATTTTTTTCATCTCCAAAGTTTGATTGGATTGTATTTCTCATTATAGATGTCAATGCACGTTTTTTAACAAACACTGATTTACTGGGGATTGTTGATTTAACTTGCTTGACTGCCGGCTTCATCAAATCACTTTTTAACATTTTCTTTTCTTCTGCTGCCATTTTCTCTCTATAATCTCCAAAACTCAATCGCATCACCTGTCTTTTTTTAACCATGGGTGCTGTGTTACTCATAAGAGTATTCAAAGCTTTGCTGTGGTCTTGTACTGAAAAGAAAATAATAAGTTCATAGTGAGTTAAATGAATATTGTGGTGAACATCACAATCCTACCCTGTTTATTATTCAGTTTGCCTGACTTTAAACCAATTTGTAGTTTTTGAATACACCAACATAATTCCGCTTCAAACTTTTGTTCTGCTTCTGGGCTGATGAAACCGATGTTAGGAACTTGTTCAGTCGAACATTTTGAGGGTTTTGCTGCATTTTTATACAATTTAGGTTTATTCGGTGCCATTAGATAGTTAGAAAAAGAAAAAAGGTTACGTTCACTACGAGTTATGTTTAAGGTTATGACGATATCACACGATATACAGCAGTGTTGCCTAACTACATTAGGCGTTTTCTGGCGCTTATATATTCAAAACGTATTCTGTTATTCAAATATATTCATTCTGGCGTTAAAACGATGACGTCACATGAATTATCATTTGAAACGTATTCATGATGAAGTAGGTTGGTTTTAAAACGAAATTTGACGTTACGTCAATTGTCAGTTTCTGTATTATTTTAAACGTTATAGTTTTCTATAAAGTGCTGAAAATTTTTGATAAAATATATCTAAGGATGTACAAAATGAAGTTGGGAAATTATTGTATGCACAAATCCGATTCTCATTGAGGTTAGAGAAAATTGAAGAGTTTGTTTTCTTTATTGAATTTTACATCTGACACAAATTGAATCATTCCATTCTGGCGAATCTTATAATTAATGACGTCACTACGAATCGTTTTTGAATATACGCTTGAATACGATTAAACGCCAGAAAACACCTNTGAACTCATTGTTTTTCAAGGGTTTTGATCGGTTCAACAAATTACCTAATGCAATTAAAAATAGCCCATCTCTGAACATGTTCAAAAATGAACTGAAGAAATTTGTTTTAAATGAACAAATATGATATGTATTATGTCTTTGTTACCTGTAGCTGTAATTTGTATAATTCCATTCATCTAATGTTCGTTATATATTTCAAATAATTATGTAATTTATCTTTCTACATGTTGCATTGAAATTTTTCGAATGTATAATGTTGCTGTTTTTGTAGTAATGTCTTTAAAAATATTTTATTGAACTTATGTTTGTCATACATTTAAGTCATTTCTAGATGTAACACATACCTTTTTTTTTTATTTCTACCATTCTAGTTGATTTGTATATTATTAGGATATCCTATTTAAATAAAGATCTATCTATCTATCAGACTTTATCATCATAAATAATACAAAATCAAATAAATGTGTCTCCAGGATTGGCGTAGTATTCGGCAAGTTAGGCATATTCTCCCTAAGCAAATTTCAGTTTGCACCCTTCAAGTCACCAACAATAAAAAAATCAATCATTTCCACCGAGTCATTTACTTTTCTATGATTATGAGTGTCACTTTCATGATAATATGCACAATATTTTCAGTTTTGCACGTTGACGTCATCAAGACAGGATGTTTTTTTTTATCCAAAAACTTAAGATTTTTTCAAAAAATTGCTTGATTGTTATACGTTTCCTTTAGGGATTTCTTTGTCGCGATAGTCATACACAAATCATTTAAGTAATCTATTCTTCTCTAATCTAAAGAAATGAACTTTAAACGTTCAAACCAGTCTAGAATATACCTACAGAGTAGGTTGAATGGAACGCCTATCAGAAAACAACTACTCTCCTGGTTAATACCACGAAGGGCGTTGGATTATATCTGACAGGAGTCAGTGCAGGAATCTTCACAGAAAATTTCATGCATATGCAATTGGCAAGACAACTGAAAGAGTCGACCTTCAGTGCAAGATAGTGGCCATCATCGACCTAAAGTCAATGATATTCCATAATTGAAAATCGGAATTCTTTCAGAGTATTTCATTCCTCTTCCTAAACATGAATTTCCACCTCCAAGGGGAAAAAAATAAAGGTTCTTAGATTGTATTGAATTTCGTCAGTTTTGAAGTTGGGAACCTAAAGTTTTGGTTAAATAAAAAATTAACTATTTGTTTAAAATAATCTGTCACGAAACTTAACGTGACAAACCAATTTCTAGGCGGGCGAAGCCGTAGGCAATAAACGCTATTATTATTATTAAATCAAATGTCGCTGGTACCCATTGATAAACAAACACCACATTCGAGAACAACTTCTCTTGTACTCCCTGAACTGCTCTTTAATTGAATGTTGTTGATACTATAATTACCTTCAAGAATAGTAGAACTGCATGAAAAGTACCTTGGATTCTCTTTAGGTCAGACTGGAACAAGTTCAATCATCAATGTTTTTTATTATTTACTTTGATTTTATTTTGAAGTTCTAAGGATGTGTTTCCTGAATAATAATTTACATCAAATTACCAACTATTTTTGTCAATCTCAAGTTGAAGTAATATAAAAAATTTAAATGGTATTCTGTATGCAGGAAGATTAGGTCTTGATCTATTCTGTAATAGTACTAGGCAGTGTTGTTGAGTTACGTGCTGAAACTTGTGTTCCATTGGGACTGCAACACTGTTGAAATTTGACAGAACTCTTGAGAAGTATTGGTGGAACAAAAAAGCACCACAAGTTTCAGCAATGGAAAACCCTACATATTTAGATGAGAGGAGAATAACAAACAAATGTACTTACCATTTGAAAATTATTATTTTAATTAAAAACCATATTTAGCCCTTGTAGCCATTTTATTATTTCTACTTGCACTCCAGGCATTTTGTAGTTCCTGTTCATTAGCTTTGGCCTGTTGTACCAAATATGTAATATGATGTTTCTTTCTTCTTGTTGGGTCTACAGGTTCATCAATTTCTGGCTTAGGAGCTAATTCTGGGTCAGTTAGTGACTTAACCATCCAAAGATCTTTGTCCAGTAACATTTCTTCTTCATTTATATCAATTAGTTTGATATTTCCAATTGGCCTTTTAGATTTACCAACCAATTCTTTGAATGCCCTATTGTCTAGACCATCGTACTGTTTCTCAGGTTCTGGAGCAATGTCTATAACTTGGCTAGATGACTCTTCTACTGGCTCTCTTACAATTTGTTTAGGTTTTGGTCTACCACAAACTTTTTCCCACAGTTCATCATCAAACGTTTCAGGCATTTCTATATCATCATCACTTTCTACATCACTGAGTGCTGTTTTTTCTCTATTTTCCTGTATTTTTTCTATTCGGGCAGTTTTTCTTGGATTTGCTTTCTTCTTGATAACATCAGGTACAAGATTATGGCTTTGAACAGAAGTAGATGGAGTAGCATTCTTGTTTTTATTTGCTACAACATTTGGTACAAAACTTTTGGCAGTCATCACAGTTCCTTTTACAGGAGGTAATAGTGAAAGGAGGCTGCTGCCTTTCATTGATTTAATTTTTTTGGCTGGTTTCTCACCTTCTTCGTCAGCAAACTGAGACAGAGATGGAATTGTAATTTTAACTTTCTTCTTTCCTTTGTCTACATTGATAGCTTTTGGAATAAAATCCTCAATCGCCCCTTCCTGGAAGGTTTTGACAGCATGTACTTGTGGCAAACTTGAAAATATGCCAGTTCCATTGTCAAGCATACTACTCGATCCTGGTTCATCTATTTGATGGTCTGTATTACTGCTAACAATACCATTCAAATCTGGTTCATTTTTTGGAAGATCTGAATTATTAGAAATGTTCATTGTTTTCCCATCATTTGTAAGGGAAGTAGGAGTTGAAAGGTTGACTCCAATTTCATTTGGGGAATCTTCATCCTCACTTTCACTATTGCTTCCATAGTCATAAGATACCAGAGACATTGCTGGCTGATTTATCTTGTAACTTGATCAATGAACTTTTTTTCTTCAATTCAAAATAATGAAATGTACAATAAACGTATACTCTACTCCAACGTATTTAAAAGAAAACCTGATCTATGCACATCCACCACAAACTATGCTAAAGTTTAAGAACAAGAAGAATTTAATATTTAATAACAATGACGAATGACGTTAGACCTAGACACAATCTACATGGTCACAAACCACCAGTGTTGCCACTAGCTGATGAAGAAATTATCGTGCAGAGCTGTCAAAATTATCAATTTCTCTTGAAAATTATGTTACAATTTCTTTGTTTTGTTGTTTTAAAAAAAATCTCCGCACTCATTTCTATACATAAATAATCAAATAAAAAACAGATAACAAAAATATAACAAATATTACTGGAGTTTCTTCCCAACACCAAATCGTCATTTTTAACACCTCAACACGTGTTTCGATCACCAAGTGATCATCTCCAGAGAGGAAGATTAAAAAAGAGTTTTAATTTCCTTAACAAACATCGGCAAATCGCCATAAAAATCGAAAAATCAGCGAATAACATGGGAAAGTTTCCGTGGGAAACCCCGAACTGGCCCGAACCCTGTGTAGTTCAGTGAATTCCCCGCTCAGTGAAACAAGAGACAGAGACGGTTGCCGGTCTTCCGAGTAAGGCAATATTTACATAAAAGTTGGTTGCCAAGAAGTGTCGATACTGATTGAATGAAATAAAATAATTTCAATTTTTTTTTATTGGTACAATAAGAATGAAACCTGCAAAGTTGAAACATTCCAAGACTAAAAAATAATGTTACAATTATCGATTATGTTACACATTTTCGTTTGACTTAATTTTGAGGAAAAAATATGTTAAATTCGATAATTATGTTACAAGTGGCAACACTGCAAACAACAGAATAGTATTGTTTGCTATTCTGTGCACAAACTACAAACAGGATTGCAACCAGAAATTTTATTTTAGACACCGTATATAAGTGTTAACTTCTATACAGTGTTTTAGATAATTCATTAGCTCAGTGAATTCCTGATGTTTGTAAGTGCGCATTCTTTTTGAATCAAGGTCATTTTTTATAAACAAGTCAATGGAAATTTGATATCAAAACATAAGTACTCAATAACCGTAAACAGCAACAAAATAATGAGAATAATCGAAATATGAAAACAATAGATTGTGCTTCGGCGTAAGAACATAATATGAATATCCAACGAACACTACTTCTCCTCTTCAATCAAAAATAATTGAATTCACAGTGAACGGTCTACTCTACCTCAGTTTGATTGAAAGAAAAATCGATTTATACATATTCACCATATTTTACTCTAGGCTTAATGATAAGTGATAACATATTCAATATAATTCAACTAAACAATTGAAAGTTTCTAATCTATGCCAAAGTCTAAGAACAAGAACAAATTAATATGAAGATGCTTTCCAAAAGTTTCCAGGACGGTTCATTATAACTTTCTCTTCTTGGGAACTGATCATGGCCTTGGTTAACCCACTTCAGAAACGGAACACGGCCTATAAAGTTAAAACATGAGCATCTGCATAACCTAGAATTTTTCAAATTTAATCAAATGACCTTTGCATGGTATAATGCTATAAGCATTATACGATGACCTTTGCCTTTGATTTGTTTTCCCAGATTAATGAAAAATATACATTTGAACCACAAATTTGTATGTAATTTAGTTCTGTTCTCATTGAATACGAGTAGATATCATTGCTTCAAAAATGATTAAGGTAAGATGTTTGTTTGGAATTTTATAAGATGATTGAAGAAGGTGATCCAAGAAAGAATTTCAAATGGAATTCATATAGAAAAAAAAAGTTGAATGTAATTCTATAACAGTGAATAATTTTGATAAAGAATCTCCTATTTTCCTTAAATTTGAGACAATAAAAAGTATGTAGATGTTTATTGCAGTACTGCAGATATTTTAATATAAATTTAAAGACTTTGTTTAGGATTCTGCAATTAGAAGATGAAAGTGAACATTTATGAAACATTGGAATGAGTATGATAACTTCGAATATTTATTTCACCTGAATGTTTTCAACATTTAGTTTCCCAACATTAGGAAAATTAGGAGTTGGTTTTTTTTGATCATCTAGATATCTGATTGCTTTTAAAATGTTTCTCATAATTAAAACAAGACTCACATTTTTCCACACGCCAGAAATTTGAATCTAAAGCAAGTTTCCATCACATTATTGTAAGAAATGTTGCAAGGTAATGTTTACATCTGGAGGCAAAATTTCACTGGATATTGATCAACGTTATGGTTTTGACCATGTATTATCATTTGAAATTTATACTCTACAACAAAAGTTGGAGAACTCATAATATGCATAATGATGCAAAGATATAAGGTATGGTGGCCAAAGTAAACAAGTTATTTAAACTCATTTAAAAAGTGGCATGGCATATATTCAGCTTTCAAACCAAAACAATCTAGTAACATCCTCTGAATGTTGGCCAATGGATTGAGGGAAATCGACAAAAATTGTTGTGACTTTCAATTGCTTTTCAGAACATTGAAAGGAAAAAATGTGGCCTGAGAAATATGAACAGTGACAAGGGTCCTACTGCAGTCGGTCCTATATGAGGATGTATTGATATCTAGTTAGCCTTCATCAGTTTTGTGGCAAATGAAACTTTTTGTTATAATAGCAATGAGGAATAACTTATTAGAAATACTAACTCTGAATATGAGGTCTGTTCAAAAAATAAGGTGACAGTTCAAATTACGTGGGCTACGTACATTCGATTAGCAATTAGCAATTTTTTTATGTTGGTACACTCATCTCGAACATATGTTCACAGTTTCAGCTGTTTAGCATGTTTAGTTTGTTGGTGAGAGGCATAAATGTTAAAAAATGTTTTGCTATCGAAAAAATGGATCAAAGAATTCGCATCAACTTTTGTATAAAAATAAATGGAATTATTGTTAAAAAAAAAAACACTTGAAGTCCCAATGGAAGAGACGAATCTCAAAGCAAAAAAAGGACGCCAAGTTCGATCAAATGTCAAGAGTTTTGCTCAGTGTTTTCTTTGATCACCGTGGCATATTGTATCAGGAGTTTCTTGTCACATGGTCATACGGTCAATAAGAAATATTATCTTGAAGTTATGGGCCACTTGCCAGAAGGAATACGTCCGGTATTGTGGACAAACAATTCATTGCTTTTGCATCACGATACTACACCTGCTCACTTGTCATGCCGCAGCCACCGTATTCACCAGATTTGGTACCCTGCGAGTTTTTCCTGTTCCCAAGATTGAAGAGACTCGTGAAAGGACGGCGTTTCGCAACGATTGAGGAGATATAAACGGAAACACTGAGAAAGCCCAGGGAAAAACGCTGGCACAACTGTATCATATCTGGGATTGAGAAAAATGAAAATTCACCTTTTTTTTAACAGACCTCATATTTTTGTCATTCCAGTACCCTTTCATCGCCCATTCCTCCTGCATATTTTTCAAGTTTAATTTTATCATATTTATCAGTTGAAGTCCTTCGTTTGTGTTCAAAATACAGTAAAATAAAATCAAAAGAAGGCAAAAAAGATAGACATATACTCGCGGACTTTTTTATAAACCTTTTCAAGGTGTACAATACTGTAGTACATTGTTAGATCTATCTTGTAGGGTTCAGCCAGCGTTTGCAATGTAAGCGCAAACACTAGAAACCTCTAAAATTATCAGTGTTTCTTGACTGCATACATATAAACCGTCCTCGTGAATCACTCTTTCTATTGAAAAAACCCAGCATCAAAATTAGTTGCGTAGTTTTGAAAATCTAGGCATACATAGGGACAGACAGCGGGAAGCGACTTTGTTTTATAATTCCACTTTACGACTCAATATTTTCATGAAAACTCAAACTTTTATAGAATATTAAATCAACAAAATATTAAAGGAATAAAAAATCATTTTATGTTAATTTCAATTCCAAAAAATTAATGTCGTCTTTTAATCAATTTCATTAATATTACTGGAGTTTTATCCTAACACCAAACCGTTATTTTAACATCTCGACACATGAATCGATCAACAAGTGATCTACCCTGTTAGCTGAAATGATGTCCGAAATCATTAGAAACGTTTTAAAACTGGACTCCGCCTTGTTTTTATATAATGAAGATTCTTATTCATTTCTTCCAACATGCATGATATATTATTTAAGAAATGTGTGCTTAAGAATAGACACCGGACTTGTGCAAGTTGTTCGGTACGTCTCTCATACAAGCTAGGCTATAATTCCAAAATAGAAGGCACTATATTCACAGAAATGACAAGTTTTTGCCTTAATCTGTCTCTTGCAGTGGCGTATGGAAATTATATTAAGCACATCTCCGCGATCTCCAAAGTGTTGGAGAAGGATTATCAGTTCCATAATATGGCTTCTTTCATCGGAGATAAATCGAAATATTTTAGTTTATGTCACATCAAATCAAATCAAATTATACTTTATTGTCCAAAGATTTGCATCTTACTGACAAAGTCCAAGAAATACAATGTTGATATAAAAAAAGTACTAAAAAAGCATAAATGTAAATATAAAAAAGTTCCAAAAATGAATAAATGTAAATATAAAAAAAAGTTCTAAAAATGTATAGATAAAATACCACCATGTATAAAGTGATAGTACGATAGTAGTAAAAATATTAGTAATATATTATTAAAAGGATTCGCTAAAATACTCTTCCAAACTATAATAAAGTCTATCCACAAGTAGGTTCTTCACAGCCTTTTTGAAATGAACGTTGCTTAAATTTGCAGATCTCATTTCTAATGGTAAATGATTGAAAAATTTACCACCATTATAGTATATGGAATCCTTGATTAAATTCGAAGTTGGGATGGGAAGTCTAAAGGTATAATTGCTATTGTGAGTAGCATGAGGAGTAGAAGCAAAGTTGAACTTCGATTTATGTTTATAAATAAGGCAAACTGTCTCTAAGATAAAAAGTGCGATGACTGTTAACATTTTATTTGCAGTGAACAAATTCCTGCACGATTCTCTGGGTTTAACTTTACAGAGACATCTTAGTGCCCTCTTCTGTAATATCAATACAGAAGAGAGGAGGAATGAGTTGCATGCTCCCCAAAAAGGTATTCCATAACGTAGTCGAGATTCAACAAGTGCATGGTAAACGGTCTTTGCGACATGGAAACCCAACATTTGAAACCACTCCAACTACATAACATCCTGAGGAGATCTTACTCTTCAGTTGTTTAAGGTGCTCATCAAATTTCAGCCTATTATCAATGAATACACCGAGAAACTTTGTGTTTAATTTATTTTGTAATACGTCAGTGTCTATTGAAATGTCATCAAGCGAACATTTGAATGATATTATATTCGTTTTGGATGCATTTAGAGAGAGTAAATTTGCATCGCACCAGCTCTTCACCTTCTTCAAGTCAGATGATATTATTTTATTTAGCTCCATTGAGTTTTTTTCTTTCCACAATATTGTAGTATCATCCGCGAATAGAGTGAAACTACCAGATATTTTAATCAAAGATATGTCATTCATATATAACAGAAACAGAATAGGGCCTAACCCAGAACCCTGTGGTACACCAGATTCATACGCATAATTCGCATATATGTTCAATTCAATTGTTGTGTTTTCAGGGTGCAGTGAGTCTAGTTACTGGAGGTGCATCAGGCCTGGGAAAAGCCACAGTTGAAAGGCTAGTTCAGCAAGGATCAAGAGTAGTTCTTTGTGATCTCCCTGCCTCCAAAGCTAATGAGATAGCAAAAAGTATTGGTGAGGACAAAGTTATTTTTGCTCCTGTCAATGTAAGCTAGTACTCTTTCTGAAGAACAAATTCTGATGGCTTTGATTTTTAGGTAACTTCCGAAGAAGATGTTAGCAATGCTTTATCGCTGACCAAAGAAAAGTTTGGCAAACTCGATAATGTCGTTAATTGTGCTGGAATCGGCGTAGCTTTTAAGACATATAATTTTAACAAAAAGGCACCTCACAAACTGGAAGATTTCATGAAAGTCGTAATGGTAATTTTTTATTGAAATAAAATTTTAAAAGTACTGACCAATTCATAGGAAACATGTCAAACAGTTTTCGGCATGTAACACATCTGCAGGAAGGTTTACTTTTCAGATTTACCTACACCTACTCTAAAAACCTACCTAATAGAGCAGCATTTTGTAAATTTCTGTTCACAATTAAATTTTCAGACGAACACCATTGGAACTTTCAACGTGATCCGACTATCAGTAGGATTGATAGGGGACAACGAACCTGATAAAAATGGAGGAAGAGGTGTTATTGTTAACACTGCAAGTGTAGCTGCTTTTGACGGACAAATGGGACAGGCAGCATATTCGGCCAGTAAAGGTGCTATAGTAGGAATGACTCTACCCATCGCAAGAGATTTGGCAAGTCAAGGGATTAGGGTGGTAACAATTGCTCCGGGTAAGTATAACTATTTTCATTTATGTTTGGAATTCATTCATAGAATTACTGTGATTACTTATTGAACTATTCCGGTGTTTCAGGTTTGTTCAATACACCGTTGTTCGAAAATCTGCCAGAAAAAGTTACCGCATTTTTATCAAAATCAGTTCCATTTCCTCAGAGGTTAGGGTATCCTGATGAATTCGCCCAACTGGTTCAGAGTATAATTGAAAATCCCATGTTGAATGGAGAAACAATCAGATTGGATGGCGCTCTGAGGATGCAACCATAAACACTGCTCTGATGACTGAAAGAAAAAGAACACGTTTTATGATTTGTTTTAATACTGGTTTTGTAAAAACGAATATATTTTATAATTCAAGAACAGATAGACTTAAAATGGAATGTTGTACCTGAGTGAGGCATTAAATGGTTCTTTTCCCAAGAAACACTAATAGTACAGGATCCAAAAGGAGATCTTTCTTCACATAAATGTTTACTTGATGAAACATAATTTATTAAATTCCATGCAAGACGAATAAATCCTGAATGTATTGCCTTTCATGGGATACTATTGCGAGTCCAATGTGGTGTCTAGATTGACTTGTCAATTCATGTTTGCCGCGCGAGTTGACAGTTACGGTTTACGCCGCTTATTTATTAAGGCTCATTTACACGTGCTAGTACACTGACACAAGCATGTGTTCGCTGATGATATGGCAAACACACAAGAAATCGTGAGTAATTTAAACATTGAACGTCGTTCATATATGGTAGTTTCATGTTCAATTTTGTCAGAATTTCGTAAGAGGATCCTATGAGTTGAAGAAATCATCTGATAATGTCACCTGAAAATTTTAATTTTCTCTTGAAAAGATTTTGTACTTATATTCCACAGATATTCATTTTGGGAATATTAATCAACAAATGTTGAAAGTTTTTGCTTGATTAAATCTACTCATTGTATTACATGAGATAATTTCAAAAAATACTATTTACGATAATAAACAATTTTCACATTTTTTATTTTTAGACGCGTTTCCTAACACCATAGCTTCCTCGTTAAAAATCTACACTACGGTGTTGGCAAAACGCGTCTGGAAATAAAAATGTTTGTGAAAATTGTTTAATTATTATCATGGATAGTGTTATTAATTTTCATCAAGAAGCGGGTCAGTCCGTTCATAATAACAAATACCACAAACCCCTACACTTAACTATCTCGTGCGAGTACTTGTTTATGCCGGGGGCGAGAACACCACTCGACCCTACAAAGTTGAGCACTGTCCGAGTTTGCTCGCCTATGTCCGGACTTGGACGAGAATTGTTTAAATTATACGAGTACTCAACCGCGTCACTAACTCTGACGAGTGTACCAACACGTGTAAATGAGCCTTTAGTATGCACATTAGCGCGGTAGAATGCAATAGTACTAGAAGGAACAAGAAAAACTTCCAAAAAATATTGGCAAAAAACTTCGTTGGAGAGAAAACATCTACATTGAGGAAACTTAGTACCTTTTCAAGGGCGACTAAAATTTAAACAGTATATTGCCAACAAAAGACATACGTTTGAAATAAAGCTTTTCAAACTTTGCCTGAAATGTGGTTATACATACGACTTCAACATATATTATGAAAAAAACATGTCGAAGGTAGCCGCGTACCAACAAAACTACATAACAGACTCTTGCGATTGACAACTATTACTCATTGGTAACACTTGTTTATAAACTGTTACACCGAAAAACTTTATAATTGATGCGCTAATCGCAAGTATAATTCTAAAAACGTCATTTAAAAGAAGTCACAAGTAGGCGAATTCAGACATCGTTATTCAAAAATGAAAAGACAAGCGGGGAGGAAGTTTACATTTTCATTTGTACTGAGAAGAGTACAATACAATGTTCAACATGTATCGTTTTAACAATTCGACTTCTATACGCATATTGGCCGGAGAGTCTGTACTGCCGAGGCCAAAAAGTATGAAGGTTTAAATTTAAGAAGAAAGTCTTTGGCAACCCTGTCTGTCCATCTTCATAACCAAAACAATTTCCATATTAGTGGAAGTTGGGTCTAGATTATTTATTTTGAATGCTAATAGGTTTGTTAGCTAGTAGAGTGAACGCTTCCAGTTAGTGATTATTTAATTTTGAAGCCACAAAATGTCTGGGGAAGGTTCAAGTAAAGATACGGCTGCATTGAAAACTCCCATGCTCTATATTTGTGGAGGTAAGGTATTTCTGAACGCTTATTGAAACAAATAATGTATTTGTATAATTTCAGAATGTCATAATGAGAATGAATTGAGGCCCAGGGATCCAATCCGTTGTAGAGAATGTGGTTATCGTATTATGTACAAGAAGCGTACAAAGAGATGTATCCTTTTTACTAAAAATTATTAATTCACCTCAAATATTTGATGGAGAGGTTTATATATGTAAAGCTTTACTTTACGTGAGATATCCTTATGATCCTGTGTATTGATTCTTCTAGCTTGTCTTCCGATACACTTAGAGGAATGAGTGAATGGTAACTATTAGGATACTTACCTTGTGCTTTTTTAAAAAAAATGTTTTGTTGGACTTGCACATTTTTGTCTGCTGATAACGAATTTTGAGTTAAGTTGAAAATATTTAGGATATTGTGCCAAATAAAGGATTCGTGTGTGAAAACATTCAAGATAAGTGAATAGAACTGGCCGATACTTGATGAATAAGTGAATTAAGATTCATAGTATGGGATAGGGATAAGAAACTTTTATTTTACATGTTTTCAATAATAAAAGTGAGTTCTTGAAGTAGGTGAATTTTAAAAAGTTTCGATATTCGAATGACTGTGACTCCGAAAGTAAACTGGAACCCAATGTTTTCACTTAAGATTTGTGATTAGCGGACAAAATCATTAATATGTCTAAGACGACTTTTTTTTTAAATGCTTGAGGTTAGTATCTGAATAATTACTGATTGAGTCACTCTGCAACACAGAATTAAAAGTCTTTTGAATGTATAGCCCATGTGACATATAGAGGTTGCACACAGAGTCCAAGATAAAACAGTTAACTTACTCTTTTACCACTTTTGATACTTTTGGTATATATGGTACAAAGCATATAAATGCATAAACTATTTTGCATTTATGTGCTACATCTAACACATTCATTAGCTACTAACTCAACTACATTTGAAATTTATTAAGATCATCATGTAGATTTTTGTATGCATTATATTTCCTTAACCCCATGCACAGTGGTGGTTTTTGATGCCAGATGAATATGTTCCAGTTCCAGATAGATGCGAGATGGATCACAAATTTTAAGTTGTTTATATATAATATGTTAATTTTTATTTGATCATTAGTATTTGTACCTTATTTCATAATAAATAAACTATTGAAATAACAAAAAAATCGTATTATTGGAATGATATTTTGTTTAATTTTTCAGTTTGATTAATGGATGGAATATGGGTGTATCCCAATTTACGAAAATGAGTTATTGACCACAGTCGACAAGCTGGTATCCATTGTAATTTCATTTCAGGATATATTACTTAATATAATTGTCATTTTCAACTGTACATTTTAATTTTGTATATGTTCTTTCAGAGATTTAAATTAATATTATATCATAATAAACAATGAAAGCCCGAACTAGTAAAAAGTACAGACTTATTATAATTTCCATTGTTTTCGATTATTACCTATCATGAAACTTTGTATTGATGATTATTTTAAAGATCCCTCATACACGGTAATGTAGAATTATACTTTTTTTTCCTACTTCAGAAAAGTTGTCACATTTCAGTCTTGATACAAAAAATAGGAGAAGTTGAGAAAGTGTTTTATTTTGTGAAATACCCTTGCATTATTGTTCTTCAGTACGGATATTTAAACTTGAACAGTGAATAGTTTCGTTAGGTAGACAGATAATTTATTCAACTCGTAACAGGCCTTATAAGTAGTTTTATTCCAATGCTAGGTTGTGAACGTCTACACATACTCATGTGTAAACAAATACTTGAAAAGGAAAACAGTGAAAAAAATATCACAAACAATTTAAACTGCAAAAAAAATTATATCTGCAATACCAAAGTTAATAACTAATATCCTCTTCACATATATCATAATTATATACAACTATAATAATATTAAAAATTATTTTCTAAATACACTGAAAAAACATCTGATTTTGCATTGAAATTAAAACTTCTTATATTTGACGGAATTTTATTACATAGATTTAAGTTCAAATAATCATTTTGGAAGTTGTCAAACCCAGTTTGGGTATTCTCAATAAGTTGCCAGATCTGGTTATATTCATGGCTGTGAGAGAGTGCTTTATAATAACGAATTTCCAATTCGTTCAGGTCAGTCTTCCTCTACCTACACAGTAGGTTTATGGACTGAAGCCTATCAGAAAACAAGCCAACGCCCTTCGTGGTATAAGCCAGAGAATAAGTCGTTTTCTGATAGGTTTCAGTCCTTAAACCTATTGTGTAGGTAAGGGAAGACTGGCCTGAACGAATTGTTCCTTTAGATCAGGAGTCGGCAAGCGTACCAGACTTAGCACGCCTGGCAGTTTTAAATGGCAGAGATAATTGTGAAGAAGCAAGAAAATAAAGGTTGAAAGGTTGCCAGCCCCTGCTTTAGATAATTTGATTCAAAGCTGGTTTTGGAGTATGCCCACTTACTATAGGTGAATTTTTCAACCAACAAAACTGATATAACCTCGCGCGGGTAAAAAAAACCCTTTTTGTTCACATGTGAACCTCTGATGGTCGTCTAGCTAGAAGTTAAAAAGGGTGTTAGTTTGGACTTGAAATTGATATTAGAATATAATAATAATAATATTTATTCACTTGGATCATCTATAGATGACAATGAGTATGTCAAAACGTGTACAAATACAAAATTAAAATACAAACTCCGTGCACTCAAAGGCACAATATACAATTTACATAATATAATAGTCAAAACCTAAAATAATCTGCTATTTATTAGGCAACAGCATCGTTATTAAAATCGGCCTGAAATGTTGGACATGTACATACTAGTGTAAAAGTCGAAACCAAAAATAATCTGTTATTTATGTAACAGCATCGTTATTAAAATCTTCCTAAAATGTTAGGTATACATGTACAGGGTCATAAGTTATCATCCATATATTCTTTGAGAGAATAATAGGATTCATCCAGGAGCAACTCTTTGATTTTTGATAGTTACACTGTTTTAGAGCCAGATTTTTTTTTCTACTTGGAAGTTTATTGTACAATTTAATGGCCATAAGCCTTGGACATGATTCTGATACAACTAAACTGTGTGTTGGTACTTCCAACCGTAGGGAATTTCTAGTATTATAATTCTTATTACCATTATGTTATGTGCGATTTTACATATTTTAATATATACTTGTAACAGTCAATATTCTGAGATTTTGGATGATGAGTTTGCAACTTGTCCTTCTATAGTAACTCCTGCTGTATACCTTATGGTTCTTTTTTGAATTTTGAGTATTCTGGAACAATCACTAAATGCTCCTCAAGCTATAATACCATAGGAAATGTTACAATGAAAGTATGCATGGTAGTACATTAATAAGAGTGATCTATTTACATTCCAGCGTAGTTGTTGAATACATTAAGATATTGAGGATATCTATTTACAAATAGTATCAATATGCTTGTTCCATCTGAGATTTTCTGTTATCTTCAAACCCAAAAATTTTGTCTCCTCTTGTTGTTGAATTGATCCATTAATTGACGTTACTAGTAACTGTGATCTGGAGTGGTTCTTGAATGATTAAAACATAAAAGCACAATTTTTCTTTCATATAATATATGATGGGTACCTCAAAAATTTTACTTTGGAATACATTTCATTAGGATTTCGTGAACATGAAAATATACCGAGCTTTAAACAATATTGATGTGATATAACTATATACAAATGTATTAACAACAATTTTTGACTTTCAGCTTCAACAATTTTTTACTTGCGAAATGCCCGAATGCTTCAAAGACTCACCCGGTTTATTTAACTCATTCAAGACGTATAAATAAAACAAATATGTATACAACCATGGTCGTCCGACAGCCCGGTTATTCCACCGGATTGATTGATCCGCGATCCTGCCCCAATCCCAAGTAAAGGGACGTCGCAGCTTTTCAAGGTTGATGCGCAAGGGCACGGTTTGACCGCTTTCTGTAGAGGCTCGTCTTCAAACAACATTTCAAGGTCAGATGTGTGTAATCAATAAAATAAAGTGTTCGGTAGGCTCGCAATTTGGTTTTGCGTACGCGCAAATTCAACGACGCGCAACTTCGATGGACCGTTTCGTTTTTTCTGCATGCAAATAGTGTATTCGAATGGCAATAATAATAAACAAACAAAACAAAACCTGATTCTCACGAAGTCGAAGTGACGTTCTTGGTTTCAGTTTGTTGCACAACGCGATAAAAATACGTGCGAGTTTTGTTGTGTTTGGCGGGATTAGGTGGTAAACAAGAACTTGACCAAAACGTCTCTAGGTTATATATTTGATGTACTGAAACACACTCTTTTGATTTATGTCTATAATTCTGAAATGATGTTAACAATGGATGTATACATCAACGGGATACCTATAGTTTTCTTCGGTGTTGTAAGTCTGTACCTGTTCTTGCCCAAATAATAACAAATAGGTACCTATTTTACTAGCTATATCTGCAAAACCATCAAAAATAATAGACTTATTTTTAATCTGAACATAATTTTCATGAAGATTCTCAGATTTACCATTTTTCATCATACAATAAGCAACAATTTTTCAATGGTACATCCCTCTTATATGACTTCATTAACCTACAATAAATATACATGAGTTACACAGAGGATGGTGAAAATAGGGAAAACAAAATAGGGAACATTTATTAGTTTTCTTTTAGTTATTCAATACAACTCGAACTTATCGAATCAGGTAATTAATCTGCCATTCTCTTGACAATATCCCAGACGATACTAAACATCTTCTAATTTCACCACTAATTCATGTAAACTTCATTTCTGCAACATTGGTCGATATTAAATCTCAAGAAAAATCTAACTGTATGAGGTATGGAGATCTAGCTGGCCATTCTACCAATATACATATCTGTGTGATGTATTGATGCGTCATCTCGTTGAAGTTATATCGGGTTACCCAGTACATTGTGGTTTCCACCAATTGCATTTAATGATCCTTCAGTAAAAAATAATCCCAAAGTAAGTACGACTGAATGAGCAGAATAATCACCCTATACATGATGTAATGATTATATGTGTATCGATATTTGAAACAGAAAAAAATTGATTTTCTAAACATTTCCAAATTGGGAATTGAAAATTTTCCACCTTTCAGGCAAACACCTTTAAAAATAAATGATAAAAAATATATGTCAAAAAATTGTTGAAATTTTTATTGACACATATAAACATATTTTACCAGTAGATAAAATCGCACGAAACTACTTTCACAGAATCCTCCTTGTAAAAGTGCAACGAACATTAAAACAAATATTTGCATTTCCAATCACACCAACACCTGTTTGTGTGCAGTTTGCAAGTAGATAGGTAGGTTTGTTTCTCTTGTATCAACCAAAATAAATTCGATCTACCAAATATAAATGAAAATTGCATAATATAGATAGGTTGGCTTGTGCAATATTTCTATTCAACATCAATTTAAATCGCGCCTAATCGCGGTTTTGATTCAAGCAATTCGAATCCCCACGAAAATGCTCATTATGTTGAGTAGACGCATGCGCATTTTCGAACTCGGTGGAAATCCAGATACTCGACGGATTTATCCAAAACAAGTGCAAGTGCATCAGATTATTTGTTAAAATTGTTGTTAGAAAACCTGTAAGCGATATGAATGCTGTTGATATCGATAAAGCAATATGGTTTGAAATGACTGAACTATGTTTCTACGTGTGTCAGATCTGGATTGAAGTAAAAATAACAGGTACGTGCAATTATTTTGTTATCATCTCCCGGCTTCAGCCTTGAAATCCTGGAATTGTTTTTCGTAAGGATTGTTAGCGTAAGAAAGAATCGTATTTCATTCATTCACTCATATCTTTTTGGTCAGGGATCTGTTCGCTCGTATTATAAATAGTTATTTGGAATTTTCACACATAAAGGTATCTATAAATTATTCAACATCGCGTCATTATGCATTTTGTAATTAGAGAACAACGCATTTTTTCATGACTGTTGACTGAACAAGGACGTACTTGCTTGATAGTTTAAAAGAAATTTTGAATTGTTTATTACTGATCCATTTTGAAGTTTTCCTGCGATTCCTCCGAAAATATCTTTAGTTCCATGCAACTACTTTAATATATACCTAAGTACATACTTAGTACTGAATTTTTTTATTGTTCATATCATTTGATAAATTAGTGTAAAACTAGAGAAATTGAAACGTGTACGTACAATTGTTTATAATGTTATCTCAATAAACCTACATCCTTTATCGATAAGAAATATCACTTGATCTCGTTATGCTGGATATTTATTGAAGTTGGTTTTGCTAATTGACTATTTGTTCACAATTGCTGGATAGAAAGTTCACGAAATAAACCTAAAAAAGATATGATGTTTTTTAATTTGATACGCAGTAATCTTACAAAAGTGTTCCACACATTACTCAAAAGTATAGTACCTAGGTACTGCCATTAATTGCAAAATATTCTACCCAAGTTTATTGAACTATATTTCAAGCACATATCTACCTTCTAAAAATATTGATATGAGTTCCATATCTGCAGCTGATAAAATGCCTACTAATGAAATGATTTAGGAGCTCAATTTTCGAAAAGCTTCAAGATAAAGAATTTAAGTCAGTGACACAGAAATGAGCTCAGAAATACGATTTGAAAACACTAATGCTCATTATTTCTGTAAAAAATCTGTTGAAATCTGTTTTTCCGTTAACTAACTGTCACCCCCTTACAAACGACAACTCTCAAAATTCGAAAATTGTGCGAGCGAAGAACTAACGAGGTCTTATATTTCAAAGTGTAATTCCTGATACGGGTTGGGCGATAGGAAGTGAAAATCGATCGTCCGGTTTTGCGGTTCAAACCACCGGTTCACACAGCGGTCGATTGAGTGAGTAGATCAAACCACCCACGTCAACCTACCAGGCTACCGTCCCAATTCAAATATTACAGTTATGTCGCTAGTCTACTTCGGTCGCAAAGATGCTGTAACTGATATTATCACACAATGAGAGCGGTGTTTTGGGAATCTTGTGCTTCACAACAAAATCAACCACATGGACTCTGTTTTGAACTCTACTTAACCTCATAGTATGATTGGGGGCGTAGTGGACAAAGTCGAATTTAGACTTTATACAGCATTAAACGTTGCAGACATACATGGGGGATCCAAGGAAGTCCAACATCATGACGCATAATAAAAGTATTTTTGTTTATACAGGGTATCCCCCTATTAAAATTTGATGTGGTGTAGCAATTAAAATCAATTGCTTTCTTCCTTTTTTGAAAGATCCCTCCTTTTTTGTATAATTTCCACAATTGGAAACACTTCGGGAAACCCGTTGCATATACTCCTTGAATGGGGTTTTTCCTAAATTTCAAATTATATATACCATCAGAACCATCAGATACGTTTCACGTACATCTGTGATTCGATTTCGAATTATTCGGGCATGTTCTCACAATTCGATTTTGAACAAACAAACTTTTTCATGAATGAGTCTTCGTTTTTAAGGCTAACTTTTACTAAAGTCAAAACCCGAAAAAAATTATCAGCAATTTTTTTTATGTGATGATACCACTAAATTCACGTAATTATGAAATTGTTTGTGTCAACATTGTCGAAATGCGTTCATCAAAAAAGTAATAAGGGATTGAAACTGGAAAAATTTAATTTCCACCAATTCAATTTCAGAACTTTTATACAAATTTTGATCAAACCACTGGATTCAGCTAGTTCATCACTGTGCTGTTCATTTAGAAAGTTATATTAATAATGATGATAATAATAATGATGATAATAATAATAATAATGGTCATCGGAACTGTCGGTTGTTATTGCATCAAATATGCTTGCCGTTCCAATCCTACTCTACTCGTTTGGAGTGAACTCGGGAGGAACTGTATCAACTCGACATAAAGACCCGAAAAATGATGCATCTCTATAGGAGTTTGCATCCCAAATCATCCGTTCCACGGTTGTACTTCCCCCGACAACAGGGATGCCGTGAACTTGTGAGTTTGGAGTGTCTACACAACAGAATAGTACTGGATGTAGCCTGTAAAGTCGTTAGGAGTTCGGATCCCCTTACTCTGTCTGATCCGAGACCATGAGGGAGCAGGAACTGGAGCATTTCTCTTTAGGGCAGCTGCCGAGCAGCTGATGAACTTGGTTTAGTTTTCGACAGTGAACGAGGTGATCACAACTCTGTCACCGAGTTGGAACCCGCTCAGCAAAAGGCTCAGAGATCATCTCACTTCTGCGGCAACACAAGAATAAGCCAATTCATGGGGTCTTCTTCAATAACATTGAAGACCTTGGCTTATAAAACCGCCTGACCTTCGTTTTCCTCAGGTCGAATGGGCTGAAGTCGGAAACTGAGGGGTTAATCATGGCTTGCCAGGATGGTGTCTTGAATACCTCAGTCTTCCGTAGTCGCGTGATGGATATAGAGGTTTCTGACCCAAGGTGTAGGGCCTGCCGCGAGGCATCTGAAACGCTAATGCAGTTGCTGTCAGCATGTCCAGCATATGCGGTCTCAGCCTATATCCATCGACATAACGCGGCCCTACGGCTCCTTTACGGTATCAACGAGACACCGGTGTTGCCCTACGCTACGGGAGATATTGAATCCGTTATGGGTAACGAGAAGTGCTGAATTTACTGGAACTATTCGTTCCCCACCCTAGGGCTCGTACAAGCGAATACGCCTGATGTAGTTCTTCTCGACCATCAGAGAAAGACGATATATGTCGTGGCGTTTTCAGCTCCTGGCAAGGTTTTCGAGATTTTCTCTTCGAACTACACAGACTCTACCCAGACCACTCTTTTCCCTTGACCAACCTAACTGTGGTTACTTTGGCTTTTCTCTCCTGGGCGGTACGGCCCGCTCGGCTGTACCCATTCCCTGTGAGGATATTCTTTTGGTTCAATGTACTATCTCACGTCTTTTCACAGAAACATCCAAGAAGGCTACAATTCTTTGGGTTTCTCGTTACATTGTGAGTTTGATTTTTGGGTTGAGAGATTTTAGATATAATAGAAAATCATTTAGTGTTCATTTGATTATTTATGAAGAAGTTATATCTTCAGTATATTTCAAAATGCATAAAAACATAAAATACTTTTTCTAGGTGTTTAGGATATGTCCGCGGAGACAGGATTAACGATGCAGGCTTCAGGAATATCCCCGGTAATCCTAACGGATCTAACAGCCCTGAGCCTCATCGGACCCAGATCTCATAATCATCTAGTGACTCACCCGCATCACTCGAATTTGCATGCCAACACAAATGGTATGTATGAGTAGTTTCATTAATCTTTGCTGATCTACAGACAGTTGTCAGATCCTCTAACTCTATTATTCATTAAAATATTGTATGCAACAGTTATTTATATATTTAGGGCATAATTGTATTGTACTTCCATCATATACGAATGGGAAAGTTATTGAAACTATCTTGGCTACATGGATCAGATGGTATAGGATCCGATATTCTCAAATAAAACGGTCATGAAATAGCACCCACATTGATGTATATTATAAAAAATCTATTAGCGACGGTAAATTTTCAGATATCCTATAATATGCTATCAATAAAACGATGGGAACAAATCAGACGTGACAAACTATCGCTCCACTCACATCTATTGTAGGGTCTTCCAAAAGGGATTTCCAAACTTTGACAATAATTGATAACGGCCATCTTGTTAAAGCTACATCTGTCAATATGTCGTGAATAAATTTGAGTCATAAAAAACAAATGGGTGACATAAAACCTACGGTGTCAGGGGGTGCCACAGTTTTACCCTCGAGTATTTATGAGCGCAACGGATAATGGCAATAGTGATATGCAGAAAAGAAGCTCTCTGCTGAAAAATTCCAACTGAACCAGGACTGGAATGTCAAAGTCGAGTGGTTGCAGGTGTGCATAAGTGTCCTTCCAGAAGGATTCCACCTGATCAGCGGTCTGCGAATTGTCCACAACACGCGGAGGCTCTTGGACTGAGCGATAAGGTTTCTCACAGAACTTGAGGTTTTCCGCGATTCTGCTCGCTTGCTTTTCTAGTGATTTTTTGGCGGCCACTAGCATTCGTATCTTATCAAGGTAGTTCTGTTTGGCGGTCAGCGGCACGTCTTGACTCAAAGTGTGGTGGATACATCGTAATATGGCGGTTATTCGTCGCACTACAGGCGTGAAAGGTCTGTTGGTCGCACTGTAATCCACTACACATTGGATATGAGACGCGTGCTGTACCGCCAACTTGATCTCAGCCACCAACTTGTGTACCGGCCGTTTAATCTTCCGAACCGCCGGGTCGGGATTCCATCCTTTCAGTTCAGAAAACGATTGAACGACTATATACACAACGGTGTTAATTTGCCAGATGTCAGCCACTTCTATAAAAACATCACGAATCTCCGCATTCGAACGAGCCTAAAGCGCCTTGCGTGTTCTGATTATCTCTACTGTTGGCAGGATGCGAGTCCCCTCTCCAGTCACGCCAACGGGTGTTAGACCTGCCACTTCCACCACTTCGTTAGCAGACTGTAGAGGAGCTATAGAGTTCGTGCCGCCGAAAGTGAGATACACAATCCCGGATGTGTTATTACCATTATTATTATGGTTATAACTATTATTTTTTCTTTAATGATCTGGTGCTGTCACCGATGCCCCAATATATTCAGGAGGGCCCTCCTATTTGCCCCGTCTGAAACTAAGATGGACATTGAATTATATCTGTCAGATACTTATGCAAGTCATCTCACAGAAGTTTTGCAGATGATTTTCATTTGTTTAGATTCTACTGTTTCAAATGTCATTTCATATATATTTATTCATTTTGTTTGTTACATAGTCGCCATTAATAAACACGTGGTTAATGATGCGTCCGTTGGCAGTGAATTTTTCCAATTTTTCAGCTTCATCTTAAAATTATTTCTAATAGAATGTCCTAATCACTCAAAATGCATTTAATTGCGATCATTATCGCTTATCGTATTGTATTATGAATCCGTTATTACCTAATCTGTTTAGACAATTGATTGTTGACGTCTTAAGTAATATTTCATAAAATAATTTCATTTTTGGACTTCCCAGCTAGTTATTTTCATGGAATGAAACTAAGAAAAATGTGACACACATTCAACATGTTTTCATTCCAAAGGTGCTCTGTACAAAACTTGCCATTAGTGGTATACCTTGATGTAGGTAGTTGGTGGAAATTGATTTTCACCTTTTATATTTCTTCCCACGATCCCGTCTTTTTCCATGGCAACCCGCCTATGCTCATCCTTTTATTTTACTATGTACGTATGTTGTTAGGTCATACTGTTACGACTTTCACCATCTCTTGTTAGTGCATGCAAACGAAAGAGACGGAGACTACTTTGCGCATCCGTCGGCTGTCACTGTGTGACGTCACAATTGCAAATGGCTGAACTCTTTTATAACTTAACTAGATAGACAATTTTATTCCAACAAAATAGTGGTGTGTGGTGTGCTTGTGTGATTGATTTTTGGAAACAAATATTATGTATCCAGGATCTGGAGGCCGTAAGTACACATGAACGTGTGAAGACGATAGCTTCAGTAGTCGAATGTGTTTTGTTTTCAAAACGAGGTGTACTGGAATTAGATTCTTTGTTTTGTGATTCTCAACTGTTTTCATAAAATTTTGTTTTCTGTTTTAAATTTTTTCAAACTTTTGCCACTCTGGAATCGTGCGAGTTTATTCCCTGATATAGGAATGAATAAGAAAACCTATTTACAATGTTCAGTGACGACCTAACCTAGGCTGGCATTTAATAAATCAAACTGGGAAAAGTGTTGATGAAGTTTAGTAAAATCAGAAGTTGGTCGAGAGAAATGTGTAATGAATTTTATAACTTTCGCGTTCTTGCTATGCGCATTTTTTATAGTATTATCATGAAAATATTTTCCGTATTTTAAAATAGACCCAGTTCATGTTTATTTCTGGATTTCTCATATTAACTGTAGTTTGATGTAAATAAGAACCTAGACACATAACCTATAAAAATTGGACAAATGAATTTATTACCATTTATTTCTTGACTAATTTTCTTTGTATTATATATTTATCAGCCCACATACTCTAACCTATTTTGTGAAATGTTTGTGTCCAAATAATGTTGGTTAGTGATATGATTTCTCTAAAATTAAGTGCAGAGTGGTTCACTGACCTCTCAGTGTCTCCAGGAGTAAGATGAGGCTTATTGATTTTTGAAACCTACCTAAACATTTCCTTTTTTGTATGTTTTTAGATGGTTAATCATAAAATTAATTTTATAAAGTCACTGTTGATACTTCAAGACTGTCTAAACGGCTGGAGCATCAGATATGTCATTAAATATACTTTGTTTACTTTGTGTATTCTGAAATTAGAATTTATTCATATATCCAAAGATCATTTCTGAAGATATATTATACATTTATCACAATGAATTGCAAGACTCTCATGAAAAATGAGTAACTGCAGG